GTTGGATCGTCAAGTTTGCTTTTGTTTTGTTTGTGTCTTTTATCTTTTTTGAACAATTTATTTTCATACTTTTTTGGTACTTCATGAGAAGCTTTCTTCAATGAGGCACTGCGAAGAACCCTGCCCTCAGAAGGTTCAGGAGGACCAGCTGCTAAATGGTTACTGGATTTTTTTTTTCTTCGGGAGAGTGTTTTATCTTTTATTATTTCATCTTTCTTCTCAAGTTTTCTAGAGGTAATTTTGTCCTTCACATATGAATCAGTTTTATTCACAGCAACTTTCAGTAGAGGCTTGACAATAATATCATCATCATCATCAACTACTATTTGTTCTGAACTGTCTGAGGCCCCATCGTCTTCGTCCAAAACCTTTGAATTTGAGATTGACTTATCAAGTTTATCAGAAATGGTGTGGTCCATCTCTGGGATGGCCAGTATAGGTTCTCCATTTTCTCCCTGGTCTACAACTTCAAGTAAAATACCTCCTTCAGGGAGGATTTGTTCTCCCTCATCATCTTCTAAAGAAATGGCCATACAGTAAGGATGCATTTGTCTGACCAAATCACCCAAACTAACAGAAAGTCCATCTTCAGCATTTTGCTCATAAGTAACGGGAAGACCCTCCCAGTCTAGTAGCTCATTGTCAGAAGTTAATTGAAGTCTTTCTGGGCTAGGAGTGAGAGAATCCTCTTCTTCTTCTCCATCACTCCTTTGCTGAACCATGGGCAAGGTCTAGAAAGAAGTGGAAGTAAATAAAAAGTGGGACAAATGAAATCCATACATTTAAATAGTTAAGTTACCTTTCCTGTAGAACGGTGTTTTCCAAATAATGTTTCTTTCTCCGGAGGGGACCGTGACAGACAAAACAATCTTCTCAGCTAAAAACAGAACAAAGACAATTTTGAACTAGAAATTGCAACATTTTCTTTGCATTTTCCAAGACAAAGCAACTGTGCAACAGCTGTGAAACAGCTGCGCATTTACCGGAGAGTGCTCCCTGCCCTTTTGGCCTGACAGCAGGTCTGACTCAGGCAAAGTGTCAAATGGAGAAAGATTCTCATCATCCACATTGTCCAAGATTTCTGTCAGAGCAGTGAGCAGTGTGGCCTCACTCTCCTCTTCAAGTCCTCTAGTCTGTAAGAACAACATGAGGTCAGTCTTAGACTTGGACAAACTTTATTGATCCACAAGGGAAATTATTTGGACACAGTAGCTCACACCTGACATTATAATAACAACAAAGAGGAAATATATAACTGGTAATTCTAAATTCTAAATAGGTAACAAAATATCAAGAGACTGGTGTTAAATAGGGCATAATTATACAACTGTATATGTACAAGTAAAATAAAATACAGTAGAAATAAGTAAAAAAAAAAAAAAAGTCATGCATCCCATGGAGAAAAACTATTTTGAGTATGTAATACACTTGCCTCTATTGCTGATGAGTCTTCAAAAATTGAAAGAATAGATGGGTCTAAGCAGCCTTGAAGGGTGTTCATAGTGTCTCCTGAGTTCAGTCCAGTAGTCTATGGAGGAAAAAAACATTAGGCTAGATTAGGTAGATGTAAACAATGTTTAGCATTTCAAAAAGGTGTGGGTTAGTTTATTGCTAATTGAGGAGAAAACTGAAAGTAAACATTTGTGTTAGAAAAACAACATGACAAATCCATTTTACAATGCTCTTTCTTTGCACTGAATTTAATGCCAACTGGCCACAGATAAAAAACTGCTCATAAAAATCTAATAAAAATAATGTAATATATCAATGAAATTTTTACATTTTACTACAGACATATTGATGGAGGTAATAAATGATTCTATTTATACAAATATGCCACAGTGACCCACGTGTTTGTATTCACACATGCACAGATAGAGCGCAGACATGTTTGTCCATGGCCTCACCCATATCCCCATCTTGCCACAAGGAGGACACCTATCCCACGTGTTGCACTGCTTCACAGCAAACGGAGCTGGGAAGCTGTAGCATTAAATCCCAATCAAAATTACATAAATATTAATATAAAGCATAAAAGAAACCAACACAGGGCAAATAAAAAGAGAATCATTAACCATTCAATATTTTTTAATTCCAATTCTAGAGAGTGTTTTGCTTGATCAAACCGACCCCTACTGAGCATGCGTGAAACCCAACATGTGATTTTACCCACACTGAAACACACGTGGAAGTAGCATTGATTAAGTACAAGCATCATGTTGAGAAAAATTCGGCTCAAACAGCCGTGACAGTATATATAATACCAATTCCACATCTAGCATTGTCTCTTTAGTGCATCCAAACCTTTATCATTCGTTTGCATTTCGACCATGACTCATAGTTACTGGTGCTACGAATTTGATGGAGAGAATCTTGCCGCAGCACGAAAAGGACCGCAACTCCCATCGTGACAATGTTTGGAAATCCTCCTTATATTGTTATTATACAGCACAAGCAAATGGACTATTGTGGATTTAGCCTATTATGTTAGATAACAGTCATGGTCTCCACACGTGTATGCATAAAGGCTACAGCACTACAGTGCGAGCACAACAACCTCAAGTTACCCATCATTAAAAGACAAAGTAATTGATACTCATTCAATGCATATAACAGGTCCGATTTATGCAATAAACAAAGCTGTCACCACTCTCCACCACGACCACTACTATATTTAACACGAGTAAGCACGACTTGCTAAAGATCCATCAACAGAGAAAAAAAATATAACGAAAATCTAACATGAAATACAATAAAGGCAAATTGTCGGAAAGCACTGACGCCACTTTACAGTTTCAGCCTTTTTTTAATACTTTGCCGTGTGTTCTTAATTTATTGTAAAAATATCAGTATTACTTTAGACGTTTCCACGTGTCACTTTCCCATGCATAGAACTTCACAGCCTTGCCTTTTCTATCTAAAGCGATTACTGTAACCAACATCTGATAAAACACCCAGTATAAAGACATATTTACCTCATCTAGTGTGTCCAGAGGAAAAATATTCATATTGCACGTTGTTAATATCTCCTCGCCTGTACCCCACCGCACCGCCATCTTGCAACTCTTACCACTACTCCTGGCTCACTGCGTCTCCGACTGAAAAGCTGTGAATCGCGTGCTGAAGCCGGCTGGAAACACGTGGTCTGACATTCCCGGTAAAATGACGTAATGTGACGCGTGAGGTCGTGGGTCAATCATGAATAATAATAATAATAATAATAATAATAATAATAATAATAATAATAATGTATGGAAATAACGTGGATAATTTATTTTTTACAAATGTAATGTGTACAGATTTGATTTAATTACAATGACTAGAATTGTCCAGCACAGTAGGTTATACCATAAGCATTTTTGTTTCTGGTAAACAAATATCCATACATTGAGGCCAGTACCATAGCCTATGACCCACCGCATAATACTCATTGGTTTTATTTTATGCTTTTTCACATTACAAACATTTTTCATCTCATTTTGTACATGAAGCAGCTGTAACATACAAAACTAAAAAGATAAATAAAATTAAATAAATAAGAAAACAACTGCCTATAGCCTTTAAAAGCAGCTGTAAGCAGTTCATAGTGCAGAAGCCAACTGAATTTTTAAAAAGAAAAAAATATATATATGCAAAAATTAATGCTACTGTTTGTCTCACAGTTGACATAGAAGTGTGAAGATTGAATTGGGTCAAATACAAAAGTGGGGGTGATGAATACCTCATTAGAACCAATGCTGCATAGCACAGAAAAGCCACAGGCAATTCCCACTGTCCCTGTGCAGAAATGGATTAGAGGTGAGTCCATCCATGCACTCACAGTGCTCTTTCATTGTGGTTTGCCTCTAATCACGTCCCCCATTCAATGAGTGAAATGGAATTATTTACGTGGTTGTTTTCTACTCAGGCTGCTTTTGTGTCTGTCAATTATTGGAATGCTAGATGTCATTAGGAATGTGGTATTTAATACTGTCAAAGAGCTGCACTGAGTCATCAACATGATGCTATAGACTCAATTATCAATGTCTGTCATGCTCACATGTAATTATTTTTTTTTACTGACTGTGATTATTCTATATATTCTATGTAATACTATAATTATGTAGTTGTTTCCACTGGGCTGGAGGTGGCCGAGATCAAAGTTCAGACAGATCCACAATGTCCATCATGTTTCGATGTATTAATAGCATCAGTACAGTGTGTTCACAGGCAGAGTGCTGTACATCTGTGGCAGCTACGAGACTTATGAGCTTGTCGGTGTGAGAAAAACAGCAGAAGAGAGAAGAGCTCCACTGTGCCCCCGACACACTGCCGAACCGCTACCTACCACTGCTCTGCCGTTGCCATGGATACAGTGCCCTCTCTTGCCCCCTCCCATGCGTCTCCTTTGGTGGGTTCGGTGCTGGAGAGGAAGAGAAGTGGCTCTACCTCTGCGTCATATTCATACCAGTGCAATTGCCCCCGCCAAACCACTGCTACCACTCTACCCCTCCT